GGCAGTCTTCTGCCATCCTCTAGACCTCTGCCTGGTGACAAACTGCTGCAGTCACTTCACTTCTTAGAACAGCAGGTCTCGGGGTGCCTGGGTGGCTCAGTGGGTTAAAGCCTCTGCCTCCGGCTCAGGTCACGATCCCAGGGTCCGGGGATCGAGCCCCACATCGGGCTCTCTGCTCAGCAGGGAGCCTGCTTCCTCCTATCTCTCTCCTGCCTGCCTCTCTGCCTACTTGTGATCTCTGTCAAATAAATTAAAAAAAAAAACAAAAAAAAAACAGTAGGTCTCAAACTAGAGTGCATCAGAAACACTGGTGGGGGTGGGGGTGGGGTGGAGGGTGTCTTATTAAAATACAGATGGGTGGGCCCCCACCCTCAGAGTTTCTGATTCATAGGTGTGGAACAGGGTCTGAGAGTTTGCATTTCTAAAAAGGTCCCAGGTGTTGCTGCTGCTGCTGCTGACGCAGGAACTCATTTTAAGAATCACTGGGTTGGGTCATGTTTCTTCATCAATAAAATAGGGTCACTTCTGTTCCCTGCCGTGTGAGGTTTTGTGAGAATCAAATGAGATTATGCAGATGAGGAACTAAGCATGGTGCCTGCACCCAGGAGGGGCTCAATAAGTGTTTGCAATTGCGTGTGGGAGTGGGCGGGCCACATGCCATAAGAGAAAACATGGGCGGTAGATGTGGGTCAGGGCTCAAGCACGTCAGCTGGGCTGGAGGAAGAGCAAGGCCCAGCAAGCAGCTAGGGAGCTCAGGTTGTGCTATGGAGGTGGATGGGAGCCATGCACAGTTCTGGAGCAGGGCAGTGACAGGTGGAAGCTAAATGTGGCAACACTGAGCAGGAGACACAGCAGCAAATTCCCTGTGCTGGGTTTTCCTTGGCTATTTGACCAGGCATAGGGCAGCCAGATTTAGCAAATAAAAATGAAGGATATCCAGTTAAATTTGATGTTCAGATAAAGAATGACATCGTTTTAGTATAAATATGTCCCAAATTGCATGAGACATACTTACAGTAAAACAAACAAACCACTTTTGTTATTTATCCGAACTTCAGATTTAACCGGGTGTCCTTTATTTTTATTTGCTAAATCTGATCATCCTAGCCAGACATCAACTGCCTGCCCCAATCCCATGTCTCCATACTGGAGGGAGTGAGCCACAGGTCCCTCTGCCTCTCTTCTCCCCTTTCAATGAGGCCACGAGGAGTGACTGAGGAGCTGCTCTCCGGCCCAGTCTTGCTGCCAAGACAAATGGTCACAGCTGCAGGTCTGGGTGAGCAGGTCCTCCCACTTCGTGCCAGGTTCGCCCAGCAAAGAAATGGTGAGGCACCGTAAATAATCACTGGGCTGTAATTTAATGAAGCACATAAAGTTACCAAGGCCCACAGAGAAGGAGGTATCACCTGTGCGTGTGGGTTATTCAGGAAACAAACAGTTGCCAATGGTACAGGCCCACCTGCTGAGAATACCCACAGAGGAGAAAATAGCTTCCTCCATCCTTAACCCCAGAAATGATCAACACAAGTGCTCAGGCTGCTGCGCTCGCAGGATGCCTTAGAAATGGTTACATAAATGGCAAGCTAGAATGGGGAGGGGGGTGCGCCTGCCTCCTTCAGCTCAGTTGGGCATTGAGATAAGTCATATTATCAGAGGCTGCCTCGGTCTCCCCCACCCCCATAATCACCAAATCCCAGATGATTCACAGTTCCGGAAACAAGCCTGTCGGAAATCCAATTTCTGCAACAACCTTTATACCAACTTTTTTTTCTCTAACGAGTAACAATGAAAACAATATGTGCTCCTTTCCTTAAAAAAAATTTTTTTAATGTGATAAACATTGCTGAATGCCTCGTGTGTGCCCTGTGCTGTGTTCAGCTTTTTATTTAGCTCAGTAGTTCTCAGCCTTGGCCACACGTTGCAGTCACCCCCAGATTTTCCAGGTGATCCCGGTGCGCGGTGATTTCAACACACACACAAGGTTGAGAACCACTGGTGTAGTTCAACCTGCTTAATCGTCACAATACGGTGGTAAGGCAGGTGTTCTCTCCGTTTTGCAGATGAGAAAATGGTTTCGAAGAGTGACTGCGGCCTGTGTAGCCATAATCTTGGACCTCTCCTTTCTTCCCAGGCCCGCTTGAGGGATTCCTGTATCCACGGTTAAAAATCATGGGTATACGGGCGCCTGGGTGGCTCAGTGGCTTGAGCCTCTGCCTTCGGCTCTGGGTCATGATCTCAGGGTTCTTGGATCGGCCTGGCATCGGGCTCTCTGCTCCGCGGGGAGCCTGCTTCCTTCTCTCTCTCTCTCTCTGCCTGCCTCTCTGCCTACTGTGATCTCTATCTGTCAAATAAATAAATAAAGTCTAAAAAAAAAAAAAAAATCATGGGTATATATCATACGTCCATAGGTCTGTTCCCAGCGTTGCTGCCCTGGGGCCACCTCGATATAGCTTGGCTCCCAACAGGGCTCTTCGGAGACACCAGCCAGACTCCGCCTGGGTTTAGGACTGCCACCACATGACTTTTGCTAGAGTGGGGACCCCTGAGTGTGTGACCCCTGGGTCACAGAACAATGGCGACTACCTCCCACTCCCGACCACCCAGGACCCTCTAAGCCGGGGTCTTTACAGTTGCGCCCCACCCCACCCCCAGCTTTTCCTCGGTGCCCTCCCCCTTCACAGCAAACTCCCTCACCTCCTGATTCTTCTCAGTGCATCTTTGCAGGATCCGTACATCCATACAGATTGGCAAAGGGGTCTCTGATCCAGGTCAGGCCGCGAGCTACAGATCCGAAGGGCAAGGTCGTGCCCTAGCCCGACGCCTCGGCCGTGGCTCGCGGGCCCACGGATTCTTCAGAAGTCGGCGCACCTAGGTTCACCTGTCCCCTCCCGTGGGGCCTGCGGGCGGAGAGGACGGTCAGCTGGGCCAGAAAGCTGGTCACCGCCTGCCCTCTGCTGGCCAGTTGCAGTACTGAGCCCGCTGCCGCTCCGCCCGTCGGTCGGACAGATGGAATGAAGGAGCGGGCATGTATTGAGCTCCTGCTGTATGTCAAGCACTGAACTGGAAGTGGGGGTGTAAGGATGAATGCGACCTGCTTTCACAAAGTTCAACTTCAAATGAGGAGGCAGACAATAATCAAATAGTCATTTAAGCAAATATGAAATTACAACTGTGGGCTGTGTGAGCGTATAACGCGAGGCTCCTGCCCAGTCTAAGGGGTGTAATGCGGCGGCGGGGGGGGGGGGGGGGTCAGGGACGGTCAAGAAAAGCTGCCCCTGAGGAGGGGACGTGTGAGTGCCAGGTGCCGCACAGTCATTTCATGTAATCTTGAAAATCCTACAAGGTGGCTAACCCAATGCAGAAAACAGGCTCGGGTTGGGGAAAACTTACCCTAGGTCACACAGCGAGGTGGAAGCAAAGCCAGGAGGGCCTAAATCGGCCCGATTCAAAAATCCATGTAGCAGGGCACCCGGACATCCCATCTAGCTGCTTTAGGGCGCGGGGCGGGGCCGGGGTGCAGCCTGCGCGGGGCGGGGCCTGAACTCCGGCTCCGCCCAGCCTCTCTAGGCGAAAGGGAGCCCTTGGGCGGAGGCCTGGGCGGAGGCGGGGTCTTTTCGAGGGGTGGAGCCTGGGCGGATTGGGGCCTGCAGACACCCGCCTTGGCTCGTGGAAGGGGCGGAGCCGGGATCTCACCCGGTCTTAGAGGAGACGGAAGCTCCGACTGAGTGCGGGGCGGACGATACTTACTGCTGACCCCGTGCTACTTGGGCGGCGGCTCCGGATCCCGGAGGTCCAGTGGGCAGCTCCCCAGGTAGGGCCTAACCCGGGCCTGAGAAGAGGTACCCCTTCCCTAGCCCTGCCCTGCCCCGCCCCGCCCATCTGTCTTGCCATATGACCCACGTTTCTTCCTGTCCGCGGGCCTGAGACCATCTCTAGACATCAGAAGGTAGCCAAGGGTAGAGGGGCCCGTCTCACTTCGACCCCCTCCCTGGCCCAGCCGCTGCGGGACCCCAGGCGTTCAGAATATGGGATCAGGAGACAAGATGCCAAAACCTCTCAGGGAAGGTTGGCCCAGCTTCACCCCAGGCTGTGTGACCTTTGGGAGGTCACCCACCCTTTCTGGTACTCCGTGTCCTGTGTAGCAAAACTAGGTCTGACCTTTGCTCACCCTGCGGAGATGGGGTGAGTCTCAGTAGGTGGGGCAGCTGCTGGGGAGCCCGGGATGACGCTTTCTCCTTTCCAGGGCTATAGGAATGCTTATCCTCCTGCTTCTTCTGATCCTAGGAGAAGCGCTGTACCTTCACACTTCCCCAGATCTGGGAACCCAGAAAGGCTGAGAGCCCAGACCCTGTGGTGGAGCTGTGTGCTGTCCTGGGAGGCCCGTGTGTGTTCCCAAAGTGGGCTCTGAGGCTTGGGCACCCCGTGAGGCCTGCCTGGAGTCTGCCTGCTCACTTTGCAAACAGCAGGCCACCATCGTGCAGAGAGCCTCGAATGATATGGAAAGACGTCTCTCAACAGTGGGCAGGGGCAGTGCAATGCTGCGTGAATTATCTCATTAATTACTCACACATGCCCTATCCCCATTTCAATCGAAGCTCAGAGAGACGAAGTGTTTGAGTTTAGACATGTTAGTTTGGGGTGAAGGGTGATAGGAGGGAGCCAAGCAGAGGTTTTGGAGAAGACCAAGGAGGCAGAGCTGGGTCCTGGGGGAGAGCAGATGTCTTCAAAGATGGGTACAGATAGAGAGGGGAGCCCAGGGCTTTGCTCGCTGGAATCCCCCCCAAATGCTGAGCAGGCAGGTGTGGAGGACATCCACTCATAGTGTGGGGGAAACGGGGAGGAATGAATTCTAGGCTGAGGAGGGTTTGAAAAACTGGGGCCTTGTTTCTTAAAGGGGAAACTGAGGCTAGCATGTGACTTGACCCATGGCTGGATCAGAGTAGGACCCAGTGCCCCCAGAGACGGTGCCATCTCTGCCACTCAGTGGCTCTCTACCAAGAGCAATTTTATTCCCTGGGGGACACCTGACAATGTTTGGAGACAGTTTGGTTGTCACAAGGCAGGGAGGGGTGTAATAGTCATATCCGTGGGTAGACACCAGGAATGCTGCTGAGCGTCCTACAGTGCCCGCAAAGCAAAGGATTGTCCAGCCTCAAATGGCAACGGTTCTGAAGTTGAGAAATTCTGTACAAGGTCAGGCTGAGCCTGTCACTGCCCAACCCAGCTCTTTTGTCCTCAGAAGGGTAGAGAGCTCACGTCTGAGCCTCCACCTGGGCAGACCTTTGCCCCCACTCGTGGTCTGCCCCTCCCATGCTTGCTCCCCTATTCCTGGAAGCTTCTGGAGTCTTCTCTGCTTTTCCTGGGTACAGTGATCTAAAGACCTGCACATCACGTGTCTGGCCTGGTCTGTCTTCTGAGACCTTTATTCACAGAATTTGGTGTGGTAGGAAAGAACCAAAGTGGAAGTGTTCACCTAACATGCAGAAGGTGCTTTGCAGATAAACTATATATTAACTTTGAATGCCATTTTCAGGGTCCAGAAAGCTTCGTTTTATCCCAAGTTTTCATTTGAGCAATTCTAGTTGTACCTTATGTTTGCGAAAGTCTAGGTTTCTAATGAGCTCCCAGGTGATGCTGACGCTGCTGGGCCACAGCCCACATCTTGAGTGGCAAGGCGTTGTAGGGTTGTGCAGAGGTGGGCTGGGGCGGTGCCCTCCCTGTAGACAACTGTGGTGTGGTTTGGGAACTGTGGGGTGGCAGGAACCATGATATGGGGTCAGGAAACCAGGATCCGAGTCATCACTGTCCCCGCCCCTCCCCATCTATGGCTTATAAGTCACTCAACTTCTTTGGGGAGTGGTCTTGGAGGGGTTCTGAGGCAAGGTCTGCAAAGTGGGAGTGCCATGAGGAGGTATAATGGCCTGGATCCCGGCAGCCAGAGGGACAGAAGGCCTTTGGCCTGGCTGGCAGGGAAGGGACCATGAGCTGCTGCTTGTGGTGTGGGCACCGTGCCAGCATGGAAGCAGCTCTCATTATGGCCCTGGCTCTTCTCCACTGGTGCCACGGCCTTCTGCTTCTGGCTTACCCAGCTCTGCCTGCTGTGGGAGAGCTAGAGAGACCGGTCTGACTGGGGGAAGGAGGGGCAGCTTCAATGCGGTAGGGGCCAGCCCAAAGCCTGAATGTGGGTCTCAGGTCCTGGCCAGCTGAGCCAGCGTCTCAGAAGTGGAGGTCAGGCCTGAGATCTGTGGCCTAAAGACACTGGGGTCAGGCTGTAGACCTTGGATAGGATTCCCACCTGCTCCAGGGAAACTGGGGAGGAGTTTGGTATTTGGGGCGGTAAACTGGGAGGTCACTCTACCCCCAGCCATAGGAGATGCCCTCCCTCAAGTATCTGACCCCAGAACTAGAGCTGGGCAGAGCCTTAGGTACCTGGGGCACCCTACCCCCAGTTCTCCCCAAATCAGCCATGATGGCGCAACAAGTCCCCTTCCAACTCCTAAGACCAGGAAGCAGCAAGACAGATGAACCCACTTCCCAACCGGAAGAACTGAGACTCCTCCCTACTTCCTGGGACGAGACCCGGCTTTAGGGTTGTCACCCATTACCCAGCGGGGCCCTGGGCCTAACAGATCATGAGGCTGCCACCCATCGCATCAGGGAGGGGTGCTGGCCTGCCCCTGTCCCCGCAGTTGGGCCAACCCAGTGGTTCACACTGAGGGGTCTGCAGCCACACAGGCCTGGGTCTGAGTCCTGGCTCCCGTCCTTACTAGTTGTGGTCCTGGGCCAGTCGCTCGGAGCCTCCGCTGGCTTGTCTGTAAACAGCAATAATGACACCCGCCCAGCCCAGCCTCACAGCTTGTTGTGAAGATGGAACGAGCCCTGCCGCTGAAACCATGGTCATTATCATTACTCATGGCATTTAGAGACGCAGGGCACCCCAGATCACCTTACCCAGGGCTCTCATTTGACAGATGTGGAGATCGGTGCTTGGAGAAGGAAGGCAGCTGCCCAAGGGCCCCACAACAGGTCAGTGGGTGAGCCAGGGCTAGAACCCACACCTGCAGGCACAGCTGCCACCTGTCTGTGAAGGCACTCCGAGGGCAACACACTGTAAGCCTGGGGAGACCTTTGCCTCACACTCCTGGTCTGCCCCTTCCATGCTTGGGGTCCTGGGGATCGGGTCGCAGAACCTCCCCACTGAGGGAGGTGAACCTGGCCTTGGTACCAGCACCTCCTCCATTTGCCAGCACCAGCCATGAACTACGTGGGGCAGCTGGCAGGTACAGTGTTGGGGACGATGAAGGACATATACCGAGGTCTGAACCCGGCCACGCTGAGTGGTGGCATTGACATCCTGGTGGTGGAGCAGGCGGACGGCTCCTTCCGATGCTCGCCCTTCCACGTGCGCTTTGGCAAGCTGGGCGTCCTGCGGTCTCGGGAGAAGGTGGTGAGTGCTGGCCAGCCGGGGACCACAGCAGGGTGGGCTCTGAAAGCCAGGGCAGTCCCAGGAGAGACCTAGACCTCCCTCAGGTAGGGATCTGCTTTCTGGACAAGCATCTGCTCCTTTGCATTTTCTCCAACAGTTTTGGGTTGGTTTGGGGGTTTGGGTCCAGGAGGGTTCCCATTTTCCTGTGGGGGCAGCACAGTGGGGCAGTCCTGGTCCCGGGGCCATCTGGCCTGGCTCCAGCTTCCTAAGACCTCCCCTGTGTGTTCTGGGTAAGTCTCGTCACCTGGGGAAATGGGCGCACACTCTCATCTACCTGGTGCTGGAGGGGAGATGCAGAAGAATGAGGTAGGAGCTGATATCAATGTCCCACGGCCAGGTACGTGGGAGGCACCCGACAGGTTAGCTTCCCTCCCTTTGGAAAACTGCGCTGTCTTCTCTGGGTTCGGGCAAACACGACAGCTGTTTGTTAGCACTGAGGTTTGGAGTGTGACAAGAGGTTTGGTGGGTCCAGATCCCCTTCACATTGGGGCTCTTGGAAACATGCCAGAATCCTAACAGGAAAGCATCAGCTTCTGGGGGACCGTATAGCTAGGTGGTGAAGAGCTGGGACAGACTTCATGGCTCTCAGCTGCGCTTGGCCACCTCCCAGTACGTTTCTTAACACCCCTGGGGTCTCTCTTTCCATGTCTGTAAAGCGGGTATGATCGGAACCACTACACATTGTTGCTGGGAGGTTAAAGGGGAGAGTCCAGCTCAAACTCCATTCGGTGCCCAGAAAATGGCCATTTGGACCACTGTTCATGTAGTCAGCAAGGACTCTGGGGGCTGGGGACACAGTGGCGACAAGATGGGTCATGTCTTGTTCTGATGGGGTGTGGCAGAAAGAACAGAAACCAAGGCAGACACAAGGATACTGAGACATGCCAGAAAGCCCAGAGAATGGGGAAATGGGGGGGGGGGGTGAGAACTCAGTCCAGCCTCTCTGCAAAGGGGTGCCTGAGCAGAGACCCTTGGGGTGGGGGCAGCCGGGCACACCAGCGGCTGGGGGGGCAGGAGTTCCAGCAAGCGTAGTCCTCCACAGGGGCGGGGGGCTGGTAGACTAGAGTGTGGGGGTGAGGGACAATGGTAGGGACTGTGCACCACCATGCCCCTTTACAGGTAGACATCGAGATCAACAGGGAGCCTGTGGACTTGCACATGAAGCTGGGGGACAGCGGGGAGGCCTTCTTCGTTCAGGAGCTGGAGAGTGATGAGGTAAGTGCCTTGTGGCACCAGCCCCCTTCTGGGCGGGATGTTGGGGCCTGTCACCGACCTACCCCTGGGAGCATCCAGGATCATCTAGGGCTGGCACTCCCAGCATGCTCTTGAAGCCTGAGTAGAATCAGGAGGGGACCAGCAAGAATGGATTTCCTTCCCAGGGAAAGTTGGGGAAGGTTTCTCAGAAGAGGGCACTGGAGCCAGCTCCCAGAGGGTGAAAAGGACACCTTCCCTGGGCAGCCTGAAAAGGAGGAGAGTGCTACGGCATGATTGAGGGGGGCATCAGGAAAGCATGAGACGGATTGTTCTGGATCTGGTGCTGGCTTGGTGCAGTTAGAACATGGAAGGATGAGGGATGAGGAGAGAGGTGTATCAGAAGGGAGGCAGAGCCCAACACAAGCCAGCAGAGCTGTTTCAACAGTTTGAGCTGCACAGACTTTAATGAAGCCCCTATTCCTATTCCCGACACCTTGCAGTGGACTCGGATGAGGGGTCACCCCTGTCTGCAAAGAAGGCTCGCAGACCAGCCTGGGAGACACACATATAAACAACAGATGATGGAGCTATATGGTTATGGCAATGAAGGGCTGGAACTGGGGCTGGGATTAGTCAGAGCAGGCTTCCTGGAGGAGGTGATGTCTGGCTGACTCTTAAAAGAAAAGTAGGTGTGGGCAGAAGAAATGAGTAGCCAAGGTCCAGGGTTCTACCTGGACAGTGTGGTTTGTGTGGCACCCTGGCCTGCCACGAACTTCCAGGGGTACGTGCTGTCCCCAGGACCCAGCTGCTGCATCTCTGAAAGGGAGCCGGGACGCCAGTGGCCCTTGTGAGCCCACGTTGGTGCTGCCTCCAGCCAGCCTCCATACCTGTTTTCCTGACCCCAGATGAGCTCATACCCGGGCCCTGGGGCTCGGGCAGGGCCCAGAATGATTGGGTGGCGAGGGTGGCCCCCCAGGCTATAGCCCCTGGTCTGTCCCGCAGGAACACGTGCCTCCCTGTCTGTGCACATCACCCATCCCTGGCGGGGACCTGTCCGGGTTCCCCTCAGACTCCCAGCTGAGCACAGCCAGTGAGCCCGAGGCCATCGCTGAGGGGGTGTCCTCCACGGGGCGGAAGAAGAGGCTTCGCAGGAGGAAACCCAGGCGGAAAGAGGACGCGGTCGCAGCCAGTTCTAGTTCGGAGGAGCTGGAGACTGGCGCTGAGAGTGAGCTGTCCCTGCTGGAAAAGCCAAGGCCAGAGCCCTCAGGGTGTGTGCGGACCAGGTGGGGGGCTAAGGGCGTGGGAATACCACCCAGGATTCGAGCACTGTTTCCTCTGCTGATGCTCTGTGACCCTGGACAAGGGCCTTGTCTTCTCTGGGCTTCACCTCCCCGAGCCCCTGACACCCAGGGGTGCCCAGGCCTGTACATGACCATTGATTTCCCTGTAGCCCCCTCAGCAGCACCCAGTCAGAAGGGGAGTCCTCACCGCAAGCCAGAGACTTCTACCCCTACTCTGATGGCGAGTGGGGCCCCCAGGCCAGGTGAGAGTCTAGGTGGCCCGCAGGAAAGAGACCCAAGGCCAAGGTCTCAGAGTGGTTTCCATTTATATTTTCCTGATGAGTAATGACACAGAACACATTTAGTTTGTTTACCAGCCATTTCTACATCTCCTATGCCAAGTGTTTATTCAAGTCTTTGCCCATTTTTTTTTTTTTTTACTAGCTTGTCTCATTATTGTTGGTTTGTAGCAGTTTTCCGTGTATTTATACATTCTGGATCCAGCAAAAGCATAAATATGTGTTACAAATATATTCTCCCCCCCCAGGCTGGGGTGGGGACCGGGGGGCGGGGGCAACAGGCTGACTCGAGGGCCTCTAAATTCTTGCTTCTCGTAGCCTCCCGCCGGGTGGGTGCACGTCCCCCAAGAGTGACTCGGAGCTGGAGCTGCGGACCCCTGAGCCCGGCCCCACAGGAGCTGAGTCCCACATACAGTGGGCCTGGGGGAGGCTGCCGAAGGTGAGTGTCTCCACGTCAGCCTCCCATCTCTGCCTTTCAGGGGCTCGGGGGTCTCCTGCAGGTCAGAAGTACAGTGACTGAGACCTGGACCCCCAAGGCCTTGTGGGGAGCGGAAGGCAGGCTCTGCACTGTTCACATCCCCTCCCCTCCTCCATTTGTTTGACTGAAGGTGGCCAAAGCAGAGTGGCCTGAGTCCTTGAAGGTCGCTGATGGCAGGGCCGGGCCAGCCTCTCCTCTTCAGGGAGAGCCCAGCGCTCCCACCACGTCTGTGGCTGGTGCGGACCCTTCGGGAACCCTGATCCTGCAAGTAGGGGCTGGTGCCGACCTTCCTCCTACAGACATGGACCCTCCTGCTCTGGTGGGCTCCCCTCTCCCTACTCCCAAGAGAAAGCAGACCAAGCCTCAGAGCCGCAGGGAGGCAAGCCTGCCCCCTCCCTTGAAATCCCGGAGCTGGGCCACCCTGGAGGGCCCCGTTGCCGCCAGGCAGCCAGAGGGGGGCTCCGGGGGCAAAGGTGAGTGATGGTTGGCCCTCTCCCAGGGCTTTTTCCCTGGCCTCGCATCACCCCCTGGCTGGACTCTGGTACTTCAAGCACATTTTGAGCACCTACTGTGTGCTTGGCACTATGCTTGGCACCAGCCCTCACAGGCTCACGGTGAGGGAGCTAGATGAAGCATGCGTGAGCGGGGAAGAGCATGTCATGGGTGACACAGGACAGAGTCGGTGGGCACAGAGGCTATTTAAGTCACGCAGCCGAGGAAGGCCTCTCCGAGTGGGGGAGGCATGAGCTGAGACGCGAACATTAAAGACCCAGCCAAGTGAGGATCAAGGGGAGAGAATTTGGGGCCGAGGGAAGAGCACGTGCCAAGGCCCTGAAGTGAGAGTGAGGTTGCTTGTCTAGGAAGGGAGGCAGCTGGTGTGTCTTGAGCGAGGCAGGGTTGGGGGAGGAAGCCGACGAGATGAGCAGATGCTAGACCATTCCTGGCGCAGGAGCTGGGGTTTATCTGAGGAGTGTGGGAAGGCTCTAGGACTGAAATCAGTAGCTGCTGGCTATATATGGTCATGTAAAGTGTAGTTAAAATTAATGGAAATTAAATAACATATACCATTCCGTGTCTCTGTCACGCTGCATTTCCAGTGTGCTCATAGTGGTGCGTGGCTAGCGGTACTGGGCAGGCAGACGGGGACATTTCTACCATCCCCCAAAGTTCTACCAGACCGTGCTGCTTTAGGGTGTTGAAAAACAAGGGGACACCTCGGGCTCATGCTACAGAGCGCGTGATGGGACTAGAGGTGTCCCCTCTGCCCTCAGGCCCCCTGAAGAGAAGCCAGCACCTGGGCCCCAGTGACATCTATCTGGATGACTTGCCCTCTCTGGATTCTGAGAATGCAGCCCTTTACTTCCCCCGCAGGTGTCTGGGTGCTGGGTGCCTGGGTGTCTTGGGGTGGGGGTCCGTGGGGCCAGGGTTTATCTACCACAGGGCTGAGAGCGGTGGGCCCCTCCTCTCAGACTCCCAGTAGTCACATCACTGTTGGCCCCTCTGCCCCCAGTGACTGTGGACTGGGGCCCAGGAGGTGGAGTGAACCCAACAGCCAGAAGCCCTTGGGCGACCCCAGCCCCGAACGGGAGCCAGAACCCACTCCGGACGTGGTGGCTATGATCGCGGTCTCCCTCTGTGGCGGGCTGGCTGACGGCCGGGACATCTCCCTGGGTATGTCCGACCGAGGCCTGAGCCCTTCCAAGGATTTGCACTGAGCCCAGGGACTGGGGGAGGGCGGGGAGGCCCCCAGAGTGGCGGGGACAGCTGAGGTGTGAGGCTAGGCTGGGGCTCCACGGGCTTGCTCTTCTCTGCCCGTGGAGCCCCGTGGAGCCAGCGAGGGCAGGGCATTCCCGAGGCCCCCGCCAAGCAGACACTTAATGCTAAGCTGTGATTTAGCCTGTGAATGCTGGACTGTGAGTACCTGGAGTGGACACAGCAGGTGCAAACACCGCAGGAAGGGAGGAGGCCTGCTGGGTCCCAGACCCAGCCTGCAGGAGGCCTGAGTGCTGGAGTGTGGGGGAGCCAGGAGGGGCTGGGGAAGCGGGTCCCGTCGGATATGTCGGCCTCACGCCTTACTCTCTGCCTCTGTGCCCAGAGAAGTTCAACCAGCACATCGTCTCCTACCAGGACCTCGTCCAAAACCCTGGCCTCCTTGAGCACCCAAACCTGGTGGTGAAAATCAATGAGAAGTGAGTACCAAGCCTGGGCCCCTGGTGGCCCCAGGGTCGCCCTGCCCTCCACTGCCCCATGGCTGCTGCAGCTCCGACTCTCTGTTCTTTCTCTGCAGGCATTATAACTGGGCTGTGGCTGCCCCCATGATCCTTTCCCTGCAAGCCTTCCAGAGGAACCTGCCCAAGGTAATGGTTACGGCACCACCAGGCCTGCTGAGAAAAGCAGACCCAGCCACGGGGTCCCTGGCCAAAAAGTGGAGAGTGGGCAGAGATGGGCCTGGGGCTGAGAGGGCAACCGGGGGCCTCTGGAGCCTCACCCCATGCCGTGTGGACAAAGCCCCATCCTGGCCTGGCTGAATCCTATCAGGGTTGGCGTTGACTTCGAAGGAGCTCAGGGCACACCGGGGGAGGATGATAACCTTCCACAGGAGGCTTTTAGATCTGAGAGATGAGGCCTGGAAGACAGAGGGCACTGCTTGCTTGATTGGCCTGCATTCGTTGAGTACCTTCTGTGTGCCAGGCCCAGGCTGGGCACAATCACGTCCTCCTAGAAAGACGGTTAATCGTAAGACTCAGCCAGATGAATATGAAATTCAACCATGAGTATCTGGCAGGAGGGGCTGGGTTGCTTCGAGAGGCTACATGGGGGTTTTCTGAGTACATGGCCCCTGCAGAGAGCTGGAGGATGAGTAATCTGTAAGCAGATGAGGGGCAGGGAACAGCATGTGCTGATCCTCAGAGGTGGGAAGGAACCTAGTCTTTTCAGTCCTTCCCAGAACTTCTACCTTCACGGACCTGCATCTGTCCCCCCTACCCTGATCTGTGCCCCCCAATCCCAATCTGGTCCATTGTTCTTCAGTTAGTTAGACTTGCCCAAGAACATCACCAACCAGATTTTGACAGCTGGCATCCCCCTCGGGTGACACCCAGCTCTGTCCTCTAGCTGGCTATAGGTCCCAGCTAGGACCAGAGCCTGGGGGAGGGAGGACGGTTACTCTCCTGCTTGGCTCTCCTCGCCTCCCCCAGACAGATCCAACCCCTGAGGCCCCTGGGAGACTCCCCCAGGCTGTTTCCAGCTCAAGGGGGTACTGTGGCTGACCCATCTCCAGGTCATGTCCTCCTAACTTGGGTTCACCTTTCCGTCTGTAGGATGCTGATATATCTCCTGGGTGGGCCCAGGCCTGGGCTCTCCGGGACTCCCCCTGGGGCTACCTAGCCTGAATCTAGTCAGCATCTTCCCCAGGTCACGTTGGCCCCACCAGATAGCAGTGGTAACTCGGAGAGAGGGAGGCTGAGCCTGGGATAGAGTCACTGACCTTGGGGGTTGAAGAGAGCGCTGGCGATAGACCATTCTTCCTGTTGTCACTTGGTGGCATCACACAGTAACTAGATTCTGAGAAGCTCCCAAAGCATGGCCTTCAGCTACTCTAGGAGCCATGACCGGCCCAAGGATCTGGAGGCCAGGCCAAGGCTGGGCTGGAGCTGGGGGTCAGGCTGGGGTAGAGAGGAGATTGGCGGGAATGGCCCTTGGTCTCCTGTGCTTAGCTCCATGAGTCGCTGCTTGGAGCCCCAGGATGGAGCTGGTGTGCTTCCTCAGCTTCCAGACGTCAGACAGTGCCTCGCTCTAGGGTCAGCCCCAGACTCTGGGTTTGTGGGGGCAACGGAAGGTAGGTTTTTGTGGTGCAGGGGAAAATGCCATGGCCTTTATCTGCCCATAGAGCACCGTGGACAAACTGGAGAAGGAGAAGATGCCCCGGAAGGGTGGGCGGTGGTGGTTTTCCTGGCGACGCCGGGACTTCCCAGCCGAGGAGGTGAGTGGCCGTGGTCAAAGGGTGTGGGCAGCATGGGCAGGAGGCGGGGCTCACTGGATGTCTGGTCCTCCCACAGCGTGGTGCCCAGACGGAGAAAACCACGGCCAGGGAGCAGCAGGGGTGAGCTGGATCTCTTGCCCGGAGCCCTGCGGCTGGAGCCGGGCCTCGGGGAGATGCCCGTGGGGGCAGGGGCGGCGACGGCACCTCTCCCCAGCTATGGTTCCTTGTCACTCCCCAATCACTTCTACACCCTTTCTTTGTCTTGAGGAATGTCCCCGTTTAACAGATGGGAAAACTGAGACCTAGAGCTACACTACAAGTCCCAGAGCTGGGAACCGGGTACCCAGACTCCTGGCCCAGACAAGGGCCTACTGCCTTACGGAGGGGCGGGGCCTCCCCTCTTTGCCAGGGGCAGGCTGACCGTGCCTTCTTCACCTCTCAAGTGACCAGAACACCCAGGCTTGGGTGGGGGATGACCAAGGGCAGGTCAGCTGAAGCCAAAGCAGGTGGGATGGGTAATAAACCCTAAGACGCACCCTAAGGTTTTACAGAAAAACATCTCCGAGGCTATCCTGGCTGTGTGCTGAGGGCCGGGAGCCCTGGGTCTCCCTGCTCCAGCTCTGTGGCCCTTTCTGGGTGCATACTGCAGGCCCCCCGTCCCCCCTCTCTGAATGCGGAGGCACCTTGGGGGTTTTCTGATCCTCTGGAGGGGCAGAGACCGGCACCAGGTTCCTTGTGGCCTGGGCTGAGGGGTGACGGTCTACCGGGTGTGTAGGGCCTTGGCTGGGGAGAGTGGCCTGAGAGCCGGGCTGCCCGCAGGGAGAAGACTGATGTCCTGAGTAGTGAGGATGAAGCCCCGGAGAGCCCTGTGATCCTGGAGGCCCCCTCTCTGCCTCCCTCGCTTCCCGCCTACACTCCCACCTACAAGAAGTCCCTCCGGCTCTCCTCCAATCAGATCGTGAGTGTGTGCGAGGCTGTGTTCCGGGCGGGGGCCCGGGGCTGAAATTACTCAGCTCCGAGGGACTTGAGTTTCCCAAAGCCCAGAATCTGTCCCCTTGGCAGTCTCCCTGGCAGCTTCCGCTTCAAAGCCTTGGGCCAAGGTCTCGCTTTACGCACGAGTCCATTTCTTTGCTGGATGTCTTATGGGGAAGGTCTTCTCTATGCCGTCTTAAAGGATCTACCTGCGGTGGGTTGCCAGCTCTGGGTCGGCTCTTGGAGGCCACTCTGAAGGAATCAAAGGCTGATGCAGCCCCTCGGATTTAGGCCATCCCTACCCCCAAGTCCTGTCCTTGAGCTTAGTCCCTGGATCCCAAGTGGGGCTCCATCAGGGAGGTACAGCCTGGTACAGAGCAGCCAGTGTCTCCTTGGTACCCCGGTGTGACACCCACCTTGGGGCCAGCCAGGGCCCAGTAGCCTTGGTCAGCAGCTGGGCTGAGAGCTGCCCTGATTCTTCTCTAAGGACCAAGGACAGGGCTAGGTGTCCCTTTGGAGGGATGTCACAAGTGCCCTAGCCTCAGGCAGGAGGTTTCCTGTGAGGATCTCCAGAAGGTCCCTTCTGTGGAGTGGGGTGTCTCCGTGCCAGGAGCAGTGCCAGACATAGGGCTGACCTGAGCAGCCTGGGCGGGAGTCATGGCCTGTGAGTTTCATCCCAACAGGGCAGGAAGGGAGGTGACACTCTTGTGTCTAGGCCTGAGCAGGCCATGACCGGCATGCCACATCCCCTCACTCCCCGAGGCCGCCCTCTACTCGTCCAGATGTGTCGGCGTGTAGCTGTCTCTGGTGAATTCAGGCAGGTTCTCTGAGTTGGGAGGAAGAGGGCAACGAGAAGCCTGTGGGGATCAGAGACCACGGTTTATGGGGGTGGGGGGTGGACATGCCAGGCTGTGGCAGATCACAGCTTCCCCCCAACTCTTTGCCCGCACCCAGCGGCGCCTGAACTTGCAAGAAGGTGCCAATGACGTGGTCTTCAGTGTGACCACCCAGTACCAGGGCACCTGCCGGTGCAGGGCCACCATCTATCTGTGGAAGTGGGACGACAAGGTGGTCATCTCGGACATCGACGGGACCATTACCAAGTGAGGCCTGGTTGGCCAGGGGAGAGAGGGAGGGCCTGGGACTGGCCTCCTCTATGCTGGGGGAAGGGGGACGTCAAGAAAGTCCCTCCTCCACGAGGGCTACGTGGGGCTGCCTCTGAGTGACCCCTCTTCTGTGGCTCTAGGTCGGATGCTCTGGGCCACATTCTGCCCCAGCTGGGGAAAGACTGGACACACCAGGGCATCACCAGTCTCTACCACAAAATCCACCTGTGAGTGCCTGGGCTGGGGCAGAGCCCCAGGGAGGGAATGACAGGATGTCTGAGGCCACCACGGCCCTTGCCCTGGAAGCCAGGCTTGGGGACCCACAGGGAAGAAACCCTGGGCATGTCCCTGGATGGCCTTCCGTTCTCCTGTGAAACACTTGTCTCCTGTTGTCTGGTCTCTGAGTCAACTGCTGGTCTTCATGGTGGAGGGGAGGCCTACAGACCTGCTCAAACCTTTGTCCGTGCTGGTCCACCTGGGCCTTGGGATGCTGTCCATACTCCTCCCTGGGACTGTGGCCACCTCTCCTTAATGTTTCCCCTAAGTCCCCTCCCTGCAAAGGCCTCTGGGTTTGAAGGCCAGAGCCTTGGGGTTGGGCCGAGCTGGCCGAAGCCAAGGGGGATGGGGGGGATGGGGAACGGCTGGTCTCTGACAGCTCTCGCCACTCCCACCCCCCGTCTCCAGAAACGGGTACAAGTTCCTGTACTGCTCGGCACGGGCCATTGGCATGGCTGACCTCACCAAGGCCTACCTGCAGTGGGTGAGCGAGCGGGGCTGCGGCCTCCCCAAGGGCCCCATCCTGCTGTCTCCCAGCAGCCTCTTCTCCGCCCTGCACAGGTACAAGCCCAGGGGCCCTTGCAGGGGGAGTGACAGGTTCGTTGTCTGTTCAGGCCAGGCCGGCATCAGGCCTTGCTTGGGTGTCAGTTAAGTCCAACCCCATGTCACCTGACCCTGCCTTCCTCTGATGGCTGCCCCTCCTTGGTTTCTGTTCCTGCCCATGGCCCCGGCTGCCCTAGGGAGGTGATTGAGAAGAAACCAGAGGTGTTCAAAATTGCCTGCCTGAGTGACATCCGGAAGCTGTTCCTGCCCAACGAGCAGCCCTTCTATGCTGCCTTTGGGAACAGGCCCAACGTGAGTGTGTCCCCTCCCCCCCGGGCTAAGCCGCCTTCCTGTCCCCCAGCCCACCAGCCCCTTCGTGTCCCCCACAGGATGTCACTGCCTACCGGCAGGTGGGACTCCCTGAATCTCGCATCTTCACAGTCAACCCCCGGGGAGAGCTCATCCAGGAGCTCATGAAGAACCACAAATCCACGTGAGGCCTAACCCTATCATGGGTCCCCCAACGCCCTCCCACATCCCCATGCCCCAGCCTCTCCTTGGGTCTCAGTTCCATCCAGGGCTCCTGGTGCTGGGGGCTGGGGGTGGGGGACACACAATCTCTGCCTTCTGTGATAGGGGCGGGGGCCCGGCGGCTGCTCAGGTTCTTGGTGCTGACCCTGTTCTGCCCACAGGTATGAGCGGCTGGGCGAGGTGGTTGAGCTCCTCTTCCCACCTGTGGCCCGTGGCCCCAGCACAGACCTGGCCCATCCTGAATACAGCAGCTTCTGCTACTGGCGGGAGCCCCTGATGACTGTGGACCTCGATGCCCTGCCCTGAACCGGCCCCCGCTGCCCCCTCCTCCCTGGCCAGACCCAGAACTGACTGGGAGTCCCGGGGAGTGGGAGGTTGGAAGCTGGCTGCCACAGGGCCCGTCCACTGAAGGGCGGGGGAGGGGCTGAGGGCTTGTTGGCAGACACAGAGGCCCTCTCTCCTCACTGTCCTATCTCCTGCCTTCCCCAGCTGATCTGTGGGAGGCGGGCTGGCTGCTCCAGGCTCTTAACTGCCCTGTGGCAATTAAATGATGGTGACCTGGGCCCTTGCGGGATTCTCCATGCCCTTGACATCCCTGTCCCTGTCACTCCAGCACACTGCCTTGACCCCTGATAGGACAGGGAGAAGACAAAGGCCTGTGAGGCTCAAGACCCATCTGCACAGGAAGGGGCTGGCGGCAGTGGTGGGGCATGGCCAAGCAGCGTCTGGACGGCATGGACCATACCCTCTGAAGCCAGACCCTTGCACAACCCCGGGCCCTTCCCACAGCTCTTGAGCTGGACCTCACTGCTCTCCCTTGTCCTCCAGGATCTCAGCACACCCCAACCCTGGGAGCTCAGACATCAAGGAACGGGGATTCCAGAGCAGTGGGAGGGCTGAAGGTGTGTGGCTCCCCACAGGCCTCGCCCATACCCAGCTGCTATTCCCGCTCCTCTGAGCACCTCCCCGAGGACATGGCCCCAAACCCTGCCAGGGCGGGGGGGGGGGGGGCGGTGACCTGCCCTCCCGCCCTAGACTTAGCCAGTCCATCCAGCGCCCACACAGCTGCTGAGCGAGCTCCTGCCTGAAGGGCTGTAGAAAGCCGGGCTGGCAGCCCACTGCAGCCTTCCAGCCTAGTGTCCTTGGGGAAGAAAATACCTTTAGACGGGCTAAAAGCTTTAATCCAGGCCTGCCCTCCCCCAACAGCACCACAGTGGAGGGAAGAAACCAGAAGGCAGGGGTATAGAGACCTGGAACATAGCACAGGAAGGCCTGTGTGGCTGTGGGGAAACTGAGGCCAGGAGCCTCAGCAGAGATGGGCATCAGGGTCTCTGGGAGCTCTGCAGGCCACATGAACACTGTTTTCAGGTTGTCTCTTGACGGTGTCGGACCTGAGTTTTTCACCACTTAGTGAACACCCAGGTGGGACTGGGGTTCTGCTCAGATGCTGCAAACTGAGGCCTGGAGCCCTTTTCCTCCCCTGGCTTTCTGTTCAGAGTCTGGCCTCGTTTTAGACCATGACATCTACTCTCTGGAGAAAGGCCCTAACCTGGGGGGGAGGGTGGGCAGGATTCCCACCCCCCCAAATGGAAAGGAGAGGAGGCTATGGGGACCAGAGGCCCTGAAGCATCTCTGGGAAAGAGAAGGAAAAGGATAAATTGATGTGGGTCTCGAAACAGATGGTCTGGGGCCGGTCCTTTTCTCAGGGAATGTACAGCTGCCTAAGAAAGCCCTCACCTGAGAGGAGGGTCAAAAGGAATAACAAGAACTCTCAGCTGAGTCTTTGTGTTTCTGCTCTGTCCAGAAGGACCAGAGGACGGGGAGAGCTGGAAACCTCTGGTCCTTGGTTCAGAAACTGTATCCACAAAGCTGCCAGGTATGAGGACAGTGCCAGTGGGTGCCACCTTGCTGCAGAAACTGAGCCCAGACGGCTAGGGAGAGAAGTTAAGGAGGCAAGAGAACCAGAAGCCTCCACAGGGTGGGGGCTGTTGCCAGGACCAGGGGAGATGTGGACAGGTGGCTGGGCCTGTGGGTATTTGTCCAGGTGCTTCCCCTGGTGTTTTTGCAGAAGAGCAATGTGCACATTGGATTGTGAGGTCACTCAGGTCCGCCCTGGCCTTCAGGCGTGACGTCTTTGCCTTGACCACGATCCTGATTTGTCCAGTTGGTATGGCACTGAGTGTTGATTTTTGTGGCTGGGACAGTCCCTATGGAGCTGGACCACAGCTATTCCTTCCACGGCCTCTGAAGTGGCATCCATGCTGGCCCAGGGAGGCTGGGAGTCACTGCTAGACGAGGCTGGGCTCGAGAGGTATCCCCAGGGTTGGTGGGATCCAGGGTTGGGTTCTGTCTGGCCTGCCTAGTCAGCTGGCCGGGGCCGTGCCTGCTCGGCCAGCTGGGCCCGGCAGTCCAGGAGGTCATCCTGGAGGCGGGCGATGTCCTGCGTGTGCTGAGCCATCGTGCGATTCAGCTGGTCCACGTAGCCCCACAGGCCCTCCGTGGGCCAGAGCGACTTGGTAGGCAAGCGGTCCAGGCCTGCTGCCAGTCGGCCCAGCCTCCCACACGCACCCTCCACTTGAGCCACCCTCCGGTCGAAGTGGCCCAGCATGTGCTGTAGTTCCTGCGCTGTGTCCTGGCAGCGGCTTAGCCCGCCGGCCACATTGGCCACGCCGGCCTTGAGTCGCTCCAGCTCCCCGCTCAGGCTCAGGACCTGCCTGTGGCCAGCCTGAAGCCGAGAGCCTTGGCTGCTGACCTGTTCCTGGATGGCGTGGACCTCAGCCTCCACCTTGCGCTCGCGCTCGTCCAGGGAGGAGTTGGCGGCCAGGAAGGCCTCCGAGTACTGGCTGACGGAGTCGCTGAGCCCCGTGAGGGACTTGCTTACGGAGTTTAGGTTGACTTTGAGCAGGGTGATCTCGCCTTGAAGGGAACGGCCGGTTGCTTCTGCCAGCTGCTCCTGGACCTCGGCCACGGAGCCGTTGAGCTGCCGGAGCAGGGTGGCGTGGCTGGCCACCTGGTGGAGGAGGGCCTCGCTCCGGCTCTGCCAGGCCTTCACCTCTGCCTCGAGCTTGTCCAGGACGGCTGAGGTGGTGCCGGGGGTGCACGAGGTCTCCAGGGAGACGAGCCGTTGTTCCAACACGGCCAGCTCTGTCTGCACCAGGGGCCGGGCTGACCTGCCTGGGGCGGCGCTCTTGGGGCTCAGCTCCTCTGCCAGGGTCACCAGGCGCTCCTCTAGGTTCTGCACTCGCTCTTCCAGTGACGTTCTGAAGCCGCCCGCCTCCCAGCCCCCCTCCTCCGTCCCCAGGCAGCAGCCTCGCACTCCGCCCTCTGTCCCGTTGAGGGTCTCCAGGCCCTCCAGCAGCCCATCCACATGGCCATCGAGCATGGCGGCCGAGAGCCGCTCGAGCTCGTCCCTGGTGAGGGGGCCGTGGCCCCTCTGGGCCTCGGTGACCGCCTGCAGGTTCCTCTCAAGGTTGTCCACGCGGGCGCTGATCAAGGCCAGCCGGCCACAGCAGCTGCTCCTGCCTGCTGCGCTCAGACCCTGCAGCCTGGTCCCGAGCTGCGACAGCTCCCGGCGCAGGGCCATCTCGCGGCCGTCCAGGCTCTGGTGCAGCCGCCGGCTGGCCGCCTGGCCCTCCTCACACCGCTGCCGCACCTCCTGCACCCGCAGGTCGCAGGTGCTCTGGACGCCCTGGAGCTTCTGCTCGAAGCCGTCCAGGAGGCTCCCCCAGAGCCGGTGTAGCCGTCGGTCCACGTACTCGTCCAGCAGTGCCAGCGACGTGAGCGGAGATGGTCGGGCGTCTCGCAGCCGCTGCAGGTGAGCCTCGTGGCCGAGAGCCAGCCCGTGCACCTCGTCCAGCAGCTGCACTTTGGTCCGCAGCGTGTTGCTCACCTCTGTCACCTTGCTCAGGATCTCGTCCAGGGGGGGCGGAAGTGGCCCTCCGGCTCTGTCTCTGGGCTTCACGAGGCCCTCGGAGATGACCCCAAAGCCCACGGGGGCGGCAGGAAGCCCTGGACTACCAGTCATCCTGTTGGGGTCCTCGTGGCCGTCCACCAGGCCACTGAGGGTACCGTACGCTTGGGTCAGGCGCTGGATGTCACCCTCCAGGCGCTCCAGCCGCTCACCAAACAGCCCGGGGCCTTTCCTTCCTGGGAAAGAGGAGGAGAGAACCCTAGGGCCATCACTGGCCCGCCTCCCTCTGGCTGTCCTGTTGCCAGGCCATCCGAGAGAGCTTCTGTTCTAAGCTGACCTCCCACTGAGCATACAGCTCTCTTAGCTTTGGAGGGGAGGGGATGCTCTGTGAGTTCTGTGAGCTCTGCCTCAAGCCCAGTGTAAGATGCACCCTCCCCAGCCCTGCCAGAGCTCAGCCTGCCTGGGTCAGCCCCCCTCCCCACCAGCCCCAAGAAACCTATTCACCTGGCAGGGCCTCTGTGGGTCGACTCACCATAGGGGCTGGGGGCTGCTGGGCCAGAAGAAGGCAGCCGGGGCCCTGGGCCCAGCTGCCCTGAGGGAATCTGGGGCTCAGGCTCTGGCTGGGCTGGGGTGGCCCCGTGGTCGGTCAGGTGCTCGGGGCAGCCTTCTCCCGTGAGGCCAGGGCAGCAGCGCCAGGCGAGGTCTGTCACAGTCTTGTAGCCGACCTTGTATCTGGGTCTGAGCACCGTGCGGTACCTGGGCCAGGGAGGGGGATGGGGCAGGACCCTGTACTTGGGGGCTGAGGCTCCGGGCTCCCAGGAGAAGTTCTGGATTCCCCGCCCCCCTCCACACTGCTGCGAGTTTTTCCTTTTTCTGCGCATGACGTGACAGGATGGTGGGATGGAGGTGGGCTTTGTAGAGAGAGTCAGAGAAGGGTTAAGGAGCAGGTGCAGGTGAAGCCCCACCCCATCCTGTTTGCCTCTGGAGAACACTAGCAGGGATTTAGCCCCAGTGTCCCCAAGGCCCATTTGGACCCCGTTTAGCTCACGTTGCCATCAGAAATCCCACTCTGGCTTTGGCTTTTACCTAGAGGAATCCTGACACGAACTCGGCTCCTTCCCTATGGGTGTGCAAGGGGGTGCTGCCCGGGAGTTGGGGTGAGCAGCCCTTCTCAGGGTGCTGGGGCCACTCTTGGCTCCCATCAGTCCCCTTCATTCTCTCTACCCCTTCCTAGTCTACTCTGGGAACTCAGCTCTGGCCACCCAGGCCAGTACAGGGCGCCTCTGATTCTGAGCACAGAAGGGAGGCCCAGGGGTGTGGGTCAGGGCTGGCCAGGGTCACTCCTCACCCCCCCAGCCACGTACCTGTTCTACCCACTGACACACTGGAGCAAATGGGATTGTTTTCAGACATGCACTTGAACGTCTCCAAGTACAGACCTGGGCATCACACCTGTGCACCATCCCACATGCCCTCACACAGCCCCGGCAACTTGCCTTCTGGCCCCTCACCCTTGGCCTGCCTTCTCCACCGTCCCCTCAGCCTTCCCTGGGTCTTCCCAGGGCCCCTTTGGCACCACGGTTGTCGGTGTGACCCTCTGCCCTCTCTGATCACCTCCAACCCTCATTGCTTCTACTGCTTCTTCCTTGCCTTGTCCTATGTGTCTTCTGGGAACCCCTCCTGTGCCCCACGCTGAGGGCCCTGACCTGAACCTGCCATGTGTCCTCCCCAGCCCTCTCCAGCCATCCTGCATGGGAGTCCAAGGAGCTACACCCTCTTGTGGTGCTGGCTGCCACTCTGGGAGGAAGGCAGGCCTGGGGCTCTTGCCCAGCAGCCCTGAGTGGGCCAGATAGGGGTGCACTCACGTGACTGTCCCGGGGCACTTGGGCCCCCATCCACACTGTCGGTACTCGGCCTTCACGTAGCTGTCTGCTCCCTCCTGTAGGACACAGGTCACGTTCCTGTGCAGCACGTAGGCGCAGAGGGCCCTGCAAGGGGGAACAGCCGGCATCCTTGGACTACCTGGCCTTGGCGGGGCCTATTGAGGATCCTATACCTGCCTTCCTCATC